CTAAAGGAGACTGGAGAAACCCCGAGAGTATGGCCCCCAGACACCCTTTTAGCTCAGTGGTGAAGTTACCTCCGAGGTTCACTGTTCAGCCTGGAAGTGGACAGCCCCGTAAAACCAAATGAGACTAACGAGGCACAGGAGTCCAGTGACAGGGGCCAGATGGCAGAAGGGGACAAGGAAGCTGGTGATAGGGAATCCAAGGTTGAGTAAGGATATTGTTGATGTGTTGTGAGATTGTTAACCGTTGTCATAGGGTAACATTTGTAGTAATTGTTAAATGAGAAACTATTTTGTTCTGTAAGCCTTCATCTTAAGTGAGAATAACAGCACAATTGGAAGAGCGTAGTCAATGTCACTTGGTTATGTGTATTTTCACCAAAAAAAAAGGTTGAGAAGTTAGAGGGTTGATATGTTGTGGGGTTGTTAACCAATGTCCTAAAACAACATGTGTACTACTGTTTCATGAGAAACTATTCGTTCTGTAAGCCTTCACCTGAAGTACAATCAATCAATCAATAAAAAAAAACATCATACACCATGATCTAGTGGGATTCACACCAGGATTACAAGGGTAGTTCAATGTTAGAAAAATCAATGTAATCTACCGCATAAATAAAAAAAAAAAGGAAAAGAACCATAGGATTACCTCAATTGATGCAAAAAAGGCATTCAATAAAATTCAATACGTTTCCTGATAAAAACTCAGCAAAATAGGAAAAGAAGGGAAATTTCTCAACATAATAAGGTATACATGCAAAACAAACAGCCACCATTATATTCAACAGAGAAAGGCTGAGAGCCTTCCCTTTGAGAATGGGAACAAGAGAAGGATGTCCACTATCAGTATTCTTATTCAACATTGTACAGGAAGTCCTAGCCAGAGCAATAAAACAAGAAAGAGAAATAAAAGTTATACAAATTGGAAAAGAAGTAAAACTATCTGTATTTGCCGATGGCATGATTTTACACATAGAAGACCCTAAAGATTCCACAACAAAGCTGATGGAACTAATATAAGAATTTAGCAACGTTGGGGTACAAAATCAATACACAAAAATCAGCTGGGTTCCTCTACACTAACAAAGACTACTCCGAAAAAAAAAAAGGAAAACAATACCCTTTACAACAGCCCTCAAACTGATAAAGTATCTAGGAGTTAACATAACCAGGGACATAAAAGACTTATACAATGAAAATCACAAATATCTTCAGAAATAATTTATCCAATAAGAGTCTAATCTCTAAAATCTACAGAAAACTGCAACAAATCAACAATAAAAATACAAACAACCCAATTACAGAATGGGCAAAGTACATGAACAGAACCTTCACCAAAGAGGACATCCAAGCAGCCAACAAACATATGAAAAGACGTTCATGATCATTAGCTATCAAAGGGATGCAAATCAAAACTACAAGGAGATAACATCTTTCCCCAGATAAAATGACAGTGATTAAAAAAAAAAAAAGTAACAACAAATGTTGGCAAGGATGTAGGGAAATTGGAACCCTTATCCATTTTTAGTGGGAGTATAAAATGGTACAACCACTGTGGAAAACGGTATGGTGCTTTCTCAAAGAACTAGAAATAGATCTACCCTATGATCCAGCAATCCCACTCCTAGCTATATACCCTAGAGACCTAAAAATAACGACACAAACAGACATATGCACACCTATGTTTACTGCTGCTTTATTCACAATAGCAAATAATGGAAACGACCAAATAAGCAATGTGTAGTACATATATACAATGGAATACTATGCAACGATAAAGAACAATGATGAGTTTGAAAAACATTATAACATGGATGGACCTGGAGGGTAATTCTCGGTGAAATACGTAAAGCTTATAAGGACAAATAGTGAATGACTCCTATTGTGTAAGAAGATAAGAATAGATATATACAGAGAAACCAGTGTTCACTGGTGGTTATCAGGAAGGGGGTGGGGGGGAAGCATGCTTTATACAGTAGAGACTAGTTATTTTTGGTGATGGGGAAAGTGGCACCAATTGTGGATGCGGTGAGCACAGCATAACTAAAGTAATAACAAGCGTTTGAGCACATGTGGATGCGTACAAGCAAATTGGAATACAGGTAGGTATCGATGCACACATAGGTATGAACAGATAGAAGTATGTATAGGTATGTGTGAATACAAATATGTGGGTGCTGGCACATATCTTCACTGAAGACACAAATACAGACATTTCTCAGACTGGTTAGTCTTCTGAGGACAACTCAGTCAACTGGCATAACATAGTTCACAAAAATCATGATCTGCATCCTAGTAAAGTGAGTGGCATCTGGGGTCTTAAAAGCTTGTGAGCGGCCATCTAAGACACAACTATAGGTCTCGATTTGCCAGGAGAAAAACAGTAAGAAGGTAACGAAAAGTGCAGAGAACAAACAAGTCTACAAAAGCCATAACCTCATCTAACCTGACACCAAAACTAGATGGTGCCTGGCTACTACCACTGACAGTTTTGACCGGGACCACTGGATCCAAATAGAATGGGAGAAGAATAAGGAGCAGAGCTCAAATTCTTACTTAAAAAAAAGCAAGACAACTGCAACAGTAGAGAACAGAGGACCCCTTGAGACTATCCCCCCAAGATACTCTTTAAACCTAGAACCAAGCCTATCCCAAGATCACCTTTTAGTGAAATAGCAGAGTGGCACACAAAATAAAGGATATTACCTATAAAATCAGTTCCCTACTTAAAAACCATTAGTATGGGACCAACAGGTCAACAATTCCATAAAAGCAAAGATGAGACGATAAGGGGGCGGGGAAACTAGAGCACTGGAAAGGGAACAAATAGAACACAAAGACAATGTTGACAGATTGTGACAAATGTAACTAATGTCACTGAAAAATCTGTGTAAAAATTACCAAATGGGAACCTAACTTGCTGTGTAAACTTTTGCCAAAAATTCAACAGAGTATTTTTTAAAAAAAGACATTATGAAACAATTGTGGCAATCCCAAAACGGACAGGATATTTGACAATAATAAGGGACTGCTATTATTTTTTTCTTTAGATATGTAATGGTATTATGGTTATGTTCTTTTTTTAAAAAAGGTCTTAATTTAGAGATACATATCAAATTTTTTACATATGAAATAATATGATATTTAGATTTGCTTTAAATTAATGAGGAACAGTGGTTAGCAGGGAAGTAATCAGTAGAGATGAAACAAGACTGGCCATACCTTGATTGAAGCTGGTGATGGCTACCAAAAAGTTCATTATGCTATTCTCTCTAGGTTTGTATGTGAACATTTTCATAATAAATAGAAAGAAAACAAAGGAGAGAGGGAGAGGAGAAATGGAGGAGGAAGAGTAGGGGGAGATTAGCTTGTTAGCTACTATAAAGAAAACAGGAAAAAAAAGGGAACACAGAAATGAGAAAAATGAAGCCATTATCAGCATTCTATAAAAAGGAACTCAACCTCCAAAAGTAAAATCTAAAGCTAAAATCTACCTCCATGCAGTATCTTTGAACCTAGTTTTGCCTCCTGGAATCACAGAAAATAAATATCCCTCTTCTATGTGGTAGCCTTTAAGCCATCTGAAGGGCTTCACATTCAAACCAAATCTTGTCCTCAAGAAGATATACTCCCTGTTCCTCTTAAGACATGTTTTCAAATAATTTCACAATCCTATTGCTCTCCTCTAAATTTCTATAGCCAAATCAAACTTCTGATGAATGCTAAATCATGACTCTACTCTTCTATGCAAATAGTTTTGTATACTCAAAGACAGGACCTTGCGAACGCCCCTGGTATATTTTCACCTTATCTGGTCATCCCTTTAATAATCCAATCTAGAATTTTGCCCAGGATAGAAATCAAGATAAACCATGAGACCTTCAAATATTTAGATACTGTGTTATATTTATTGAAAAAATTACCAAACAGTAGTAGATCAGTTTTATGCTATAATGAAGTAGCAGTTTACATGCACTGGAGCTCTTAAACCATGAACAATTAATATTCACAGTATATTTAAGTCTAATTTAGAAAACTTAAGAAAATACTACGGTTATTTGAAATAACCATAAAGATTTAGTTATTATTCCTTTATATTAAAGGGATAATAAATGGTGCTAAATCTTTGACTAAGGACCCCTGGTGGCGTAATGGTTAAGCGCTTAGCTGCTAATCCAAAAGTTTGTAGTTCGAACCCATCCAGCAGCTCTGTGGAAGAAAGATCTGGTGATCTGCTTCCATAAAGACTACAGTCAAAACCCTGTGGGGCAGCTCAACTCTGTCATGTAGGGTTGCTATGAGTTGGGATCAACTCGATGGTACCCAACAACAACAACAAAATCTTTCATTATGTATATAGTTCCTAATTAAAACACTGTTCCTAATGAGACAATGTAATAATGATTAACTTTACGCAAATGTAATGACGACTCATTTTACAGTAAGGTTTCAAGAAAAAATCTGTAACCAAAACAGGCGACAGAATTATACACAAGAATTATATATAACAATTATATATAACAAGTCTAGAGCAGCATATGAAATTTACTCTAGTAATGAAAATTAAAATATGCTTTAATGAAATGCTGCATGTAATTTTCTATGAAAATAATCTATTAACTTTTTATAAACAGTCTCATACTAAATATCCAAGATCATACACTTATAATAACAAGAGTTTCTATTAGATTTATGTGCAACTTTGAATAATAATGTAGACACATTACATATGTAGAGTCTATAGACATACCTGCCGCTTCTAGTAAAGCCTCCAGACGAGCCTGTGTTTCTGGATCTACTGTCCTGAGGTCTGCGCCATCAGCAGTTCCTGACAAGAGCAACTTGGAAGCAGTTTCCAGCATTGGATTTTCCAAATCATCTTGATCCAAAATGAAAGACTCCACCTAGAAAACAAATATAATAAAGGAAGGAAGGGAAAAATAAAAGGAGTAAAGAAGAGTGGAAAAAAGGGAAGAGAAATAAACAGAAGAAAAAGGGGACACAAAAAATATTTTAGTATAATTACCAATGATAAATACAATGCAACTCTAAATAAAGTCAATGAAACATCTAAGCCCATCATTTAACTAACGGAGAAAACTAAACGTTTAACATTTGTAGAAAAATTCAAGAATATTATTCATACGCAGTCTAATTTTAGTTACTGAAATCATGGGTACTGTTTTCAACTTTAATTTGGGGGGAAGGGGGAGTGCAAGGGTAGTGCTTAAGCTGTGAAACCTCTGACCTTAGTAGAGGACCTACATCAGCAGTACTCAAACATTTTTCTCTCGGGACTCCTCTATACACTTAAAAGTGTTGAGGTCGCAAGGACTTCATATAATGGCTATATTTATCAATATTTACCATTTGAGAAATTAAATTACAACTATTTTTTAAAAAATCACCTTCATTAGTATTACTACTGGTTTCAGAAAAGTCTAGTATTGGGAAGCTGTCAAGGACAGGAAGATACTTTTCCAAAATTCTAATTTTTGCTTGAAAGCTAAATTTTATCACTGGCAACAAATATGGCCAATTGTTTTCCTTAAAGTAACAGGCTCACTTCAATCATGTTTGAGGATGTTTGCCAAATACTCAAGTTCGAATAAGTGTAGTTCATCTGTCAACTGTACTTTCCAGTAAAAATGGCATTTCATGAAAAAAAAAAAAAAAGGTGGCTAATTCACCTCACATCTCAAACAATCACACAAGTGCTTTACCCTCCAGACAAACACCATACTTTGGTATTCAGTAGAAGTACTTCGTGTGTATTTCCCGTTTTATCACAGGCAGTAATATTAAAAAGACATGTACTCAAAAGTGGAGATTTTCATAAAATTAATCATTTTTATTGTTTCATCAAGGACAATCTTAAAGTGAAGCTGCATTTTTATTTAACTCTGGGTTCACAGCAGTAAAGAGTAAAATGATACTAGTACAGTGTGGTGTCATGGCCTTGATTCTTCTTAAGGGGTGAGCAGTGTGTCACCACAGTAAAAAAGGTAAATAACATCCTAGTATTATGATGAAAATAGTTCTGACCTCTTGAACATCTGGAAATGGTCTCTAGACACTCAGGGATCTACAGACCATGCATTGAGAACCACTGACATAGTAGTATTTAACAGATTCAAGTAAAAGACATTCGAATTAGAAAGTAGCAAACACCTAAGACGTTGGAAAAAGTTTTGTTTTGGCATTCCCTAATATATGAGTAATACTTATAAAATAGGTACCAAAACTATATTCTTTTCTGCTTCCTGATAAAAAAAAAGTTGATTGTTACATAAAATAATTCACAATTTAACATTATGAGAGGACATATATTTTGCAACTAAAAGGCACTTGTAACACTATAATAAATAAAATAGATATAAAAGTAATTAATAGTCTAAAATACAAGTATGCTCCTATGAGTAGTAGCCCCAGGTCAGGTGTAAGGAAAATACCTTAAGAAATAAACTCTTAACTACCATAACATCAGAAATTCTGCATTGTTTCATCTTTGAAAGTCACCTATCTAATAGCCAGGCATAACTGTTATATTCAATCAATACATATTTAATATTAGATGTTAAGTATCGAGCAAAATAATATAATTCATATATAAGGTTCTTCCAAAATTTCATTTAACTAAAGCAGTTTAACATGAAACATTTGATATCTGATATTCCAGACAGAATACTCTGAAAATAGTCTGTTAATATCTGAAAAATGTCATAGCACTTTGCAGTATATTAACTTTAACTAATAAATAACAGTTACTAAGATTCTACATAGTTAAGAATAAAACACAAGAACAAATTTTTTTTTTAAATATTTTAAGCTATTTTTCAAAGCAGGAGTAAAGTATGATACAGCAAGAATCTTACAGGCCAAGATTAAAGTCTTCTACTTTAGAAAGTAGACATTTGGGTATGGTTTGGCCATAACAGGATGTGACTCAAAACTATCAAGTAAAAAACATGTCTTCCTATCTCCAAACATGGTCCACAAGATGAATCTGTCCAAAGAAAAGGCTGTTTTCCAACGAAATTTTCTCCATTAAAATATCTACAATCATTTCAATCCAATGGGAGAAGACAGGAGAAGGGAAACAAAGAAAATGAATACAGATAATATGAACAGATAAAAAGTTAAATAACACAAGATTTTAGATAAAAGTTTTAGAAGACAAGAGACCTCAAAAAGACAGCATATGGTTAACTGCCAAATCAAAGACAGAGAGTAGAGGTGCTAATCAAGTTGTTCAAAGGAGACCCTGCATGTAGGAAGAGTAATATGAAAAGGTATAGATCAAAATAACCAATCTGTATAAAAGAGAAGAAAAAGAATAAATGTGGTACTGGCAGACAAGCATAAAGTTTCAATAGGCTACAACAGAGGGTTTACTGTAGGAAGAGTCATAAAGTTAGAAGTTACAGCATAGAAGGCATGACATTTCAATCGAAAGTGCTTTTCTGACACAAAGTTCCCAATGCCACATTGTATCATAACTAAGACTAGTGAAAACTTACTAAGAAAACTGCATCTCAATCCCTTAATAAGTGACACAAAGTACAGAAATAGCTTTTCTCATCAATTTTAAACTTCTCCACAGAAGTTTTTATGTTGATTTTTAATTCCGCTGTTCTTATTAGGCAAAAAACTTGACAACTTAAAAAAAAAAAAACAGACGTAATATATTTTGATAAATGAAGCAATCTTAAAAACAAAAACAAAAAAACTCAAACCTGTTGTCGTTGAGTCGATTCTGACTCACGGCAAACCCATGTGTGTCAGAGTAGAACTGCACTCCATAGGGTTTTCAATGGCTGTGACCTTTCAAAAGCAGACCACCAGGTCTTTTTCTGAGGCTCCTCCAGGTGGATTCAACCAACAGCCTTTCAGATAGTAGCCCAGTGCTTAACATCTGCACCACCCAAGGATTCCTGAAGCAATCTAAATAAAAGTTTCTCTCATTAGTATTACTGTTAGGTCAATTTACCAAAATGTGAATTTCTGCAACTAAATAAGAAAATCTGACAACAAAATAAACAAATTTTTTTTTTTAAAATTTGAAGAGAAAGTAGCCTTCATTCTCATCAATAAGCCAAAATATTGCCAAATGAATTAAATATATAAAACCATGAAATAAACAGTATACTGATGTTTCTATGATTCAGAGTCATCCCTAAAATAGAACAACAGCAAATTCAAACAACTATGAAATTCTTTCTATATAGAGCTTGTTTAAAAAAGGTAACAGGATGAACAAAAATACCAGGAATAGGTATCTATTATTTCCTCTCCCACTCCCTGTTTAAGATTAATGAAAAAGGAGCCAATTTCAAGGATACTTTATTAGGTTCAAAAGATCTTAGGTACCAGTCTTGCTTCAGTCATTAGCTGTATGACCTAAACAAGTCTCTCAGTCATCTCTAGATCCTTATTCTGCCTTATATTTTCATAGATTTATCACTACATGACATATGTATTGTTTCTCTAAGCTCCATTAAAACAGGAACTTTGTTTAGTTCACCTCTGTATAACTGGCATCTAGAAGTGTTCCTAACACGTTGCCTAGACTCAAATATGTGTTGAGTAAATAAGGGAATCTGTAAAGAGGAAGCCAAATTTACTTCTCTTTGATTTTGGGATCCTTCTCTTTCAGGTTCTAAAAAGCTCTAGTGTATAAGAGAAGTAGTCACAATAAATACATGTAGGAGCATATTTTATAGATCCTACAGGAAATATAGGAAAATATTACATTAGGTTTATCAAGTGGGGCAAAATGCTATTGTCATTGATTTTTAAGCAAATTTTTATTGAAAACATTCTAGGCGCAAAGATACTGCTTAGCATCATGGGGGATATACAGAGATGCGTGAAACCAACCTTGCTATCTAGAAACTTATTTTTCTGAGAGAACCAAAGTATGTGTACAAATGAACAATAGTAACAGGGTAGAAAGAGCTAAGTTAATGAGTGAGAAAAAGAGCAATAGGAGTTCAGAAGAGGAAGTAAAAGAGAATTTCCTACTTTAACACCATCCTCTTTTCCCAAGTGGAAAGATTCTGGTGCTTTACTGCAAAAAAAAAATAAATAAATAAAACCTAAAGAGACTGACCTAAGGAGATGCAATAGAAATACAAAAATAAGTCATCTTATTCAAATGTGACAAGTTATGGGCATATGCCTCTCCAACATATCCTCAGTTGAGATAATTCACATTAAAAACTGCATTTTCTCATTGAAATTGAACTCATTTTTGTAGAAAAAAATTTATTTTGAATTGCAAACAACAAATTCTGGAACATATCATTCAAATTACAGTAGTCTGAGTAAGAAATTCAAAGAAATATTTTAAAACACTTTAAGTGAAATGAGTAAATAATTTCCATGAAAAAGAGAGAGACGAAAGGATGTCCTTATTAAATTTATTCACTAAGGAATAAAACCGACCAAAGTTATCAGTATTTATCAATATTTAAAGCATGACAATTTAAGTTACATTTAAATTATTTTGGATGTGTTGTTTTGATCAGCTGCATAGTTTATGAAATGATGCTTGTACATCAAATTCTCATCTAATATAAAGAATCATAAAAATGTAAAGGCCTTAGAGATCACCAGATTCAATTCATATTATAGATAAGAAAACAGAAGCATGAGGTTCTTTAAATAGCTGGTTTTTAAATACCTAGTACCAAGAGACCAGTTATACAACTAGTTCAATATTCTTTTTACTAGAAAATCCAATGTTTGAGTATAAAGTGGCTGAACTTTCACACTGCCCTAGAAAAGCTGACCTTAAATTCTGTATTTAGGGATCAGGCTGTCACCACCTGAACCCACTGCTTAATTACGAAAAGTGGGACAACCAAACTTGATGTGCCTCTGATGCAACACAGAGCACACTACCCATTGCCATCGAACCAATTCTGACTCACAGCGACCCTATAGGACAGGGTAGAATTTCCCCATAGGGTTTCTAAGGCTGTAAATCTTTCTGGAAGGAGACTGCCACATCTTTCTCCTGCAGAGCGGCAGCCGGTGGGTTTGAACTGCTGACTTTTCGGTTAGCAGCCAAGTGCTTAACCACTGCACCAGCAGGGCTCCTATGAAGTATGCAGCACCTCTTATTAAGTATTCTTGTCCCTCAAAATTAAACCATAATCTAATGGAGTCTTTAAGGATAACTTCCAATTAACAAAAAAATAATAAGGCGATCATTGTAACAAGTTAAATCAGGGTTTCTCAACCTTGTACTACTGACATTTTGGACCAAATAATTCTTTGTTTTGGGGGCTATCCTGTGCATTTCAGGATGTTTGGCAGTATCTCTGGCCTGTACCTACTACATTCCAGTTTGTAGAAACAAAAACATCTTCAGACTCTGTCAAATGTCCCCTGGGAGATAAAATTGTCCCCTGTTGAGAAACACTGAATTAAATGGAAGCAAAGAGAGAAAATTCAAAATGTGGAATGTTTTATAGTACAACTGACCAGTTTCTTTAACAATTCAGTAGAAGCAGAGCAAAAAAGAAAGTAAGACTCAAGAGACAAAACCAGCAAAATAATATAGACCTTATTTTAATATTGAATCAGGCAGACCAACTGTAAAAATGACATTTTTAAAATGAGACAAGTGTAGAAATGTTAATATAAACTGGGTATTAGTATAAAGGAATCAGTATGGTTATATAAGAAAATGTCTATCTTTTAGAGATGTGTAGAGAAGTAATACATGTGATGTCAGAGATTTGCCATCAAATACTTTAGAGATGCAAAGTTATGACAAATTCTTTATAAATGCTGAATCTGGGTAACATTTAATAAAGAAAATGACTGTATTATAAACAATGTTTCCCATAAGCATACAAGATAGAAAGTCAATTTTCAGTGCAAGCAACTACTATATCATGCAAGATTGAAACAAAGTACTACATAGATACTAATAAACAGTGATTATGCAGAGGAAGGAGAAACAATTCCAAATAAGGGTGGCACACGGAAAGCTGCTTAAGAAAGATGGGGGTCTCTATAATTGTGGGAAGTTCAGAATTTATATGGTAGGTTACTGAAAGATGTAAGCATCATGGGCAGTGTTTCAGGAAAATAATTGGAGACCATATGAAAAATAGTTTTGATAGATGTGACACCAGAGAAAAAGAAATCAACTAGGAATTCACTTTAATATATCCCATCTAAGATTTTGAGTTGGTGACAGGAAAAAGGGGCCCAGTTACTGAGCATAAACGTACTTTTAAAAATTAGAAGACTGACAACTCCAGAATTTGGACTTCTTGACTTTCAATTTCACCTGTTCCCTTAAACTATTCCCATCCACCAATTTACTACTTTTGTTGTTCTGGAAACTACTCTATTAATCACTGAATTTCTCAGGCTGGTAATCTGTATTTCAAAAAAAAAAAAAAATCCTAAATCTTGACAGCATTAAAAAGGATTTTAAAGCAGCAATGAGTTCCTACACTTGAGCCAGGAAAAAAAGGTTTCCTTCAATCCAAATCTGACCAAACTTAAAACTTTAAGATCTCTTAATCAACCCAACCCATGTAGAAAAAATCCTGTAAAAGAATGTTTATGATGTTTTTACATTTTTTTCTGAATTTCATTTATTTGTAAATAAGTAAAATTAGTGTTTGATTTTTGTTTTGTCATTTCAATGGCATAAAATAGGTTTACAGACATGGATCCATAACTGATACCATTTTACCTACAAAAAATAAAGGTTCAGTTTAGAACAACCTAACCTGAGGCTGTCATCATGGACTGAATTACATAATAACTCAGTTGTCACTTATTTAGTGATATTAAGAGCTCCAGCTATATAAACATAATTCAAAGCAATAATGGTTTCTGAATCCTGGTATTATGATTGGAAACGCTCATGGCATAGTGGTTAAGAGCTCCGGCTGCTAACCAAAAGGTCAGCAGTTCGAATCCACCAGGTGCTCCTTGGAATCCCTGTGGGGCAGTTCTACTCTGTCCTACATGGTTGCTATGAGTCGGAATCAACTTGACGGCAATGAGTTGGTATTATGATCATGAAAGTATCTGTCACGTTAAAAAAAAAAAAAAAAGCTACATATATGAGGTAAATCATAAAAAATTTAAACCAACTTGAGTCTATGATAACTTTACGGAAGTGCTGAATAAAAGTTTAATAGTTTATATTATCTCTTCAACAAGTACAGGAAAACAGTTATTTGCTCTTTCTAATTCTGAGAATAATGATAAACATAGATTTACCATACATAAAATAATTATTCATAACTACAGAGACATTATAATGTATTCTCTTTCGCACATGACCTGAAACCTAGTAAAAATTTCTCGTCTGTAGTTTTTATAATCATAAATAAGGGTAAACTTCAACTAAAATACTACAATTGTTAATAAAGAGCAAATTATTCCAAAATTAATACAACTGGAATATTTTTTTCTGTACAAATTAAGACACAATCTTTAGTAAAGTCGCCGAAAACTGACCTATGTATACATAGACTGAAATAAAATAAAAATCCACTTGAGAAATAAATTCAATCATGTAAAAAGAAAATTAATGATATGGCTCATAATGGTATTCTGTGATGAAAGTAAATAAGACTAAAGTAAACCTGACTGAAGATAATTTAGCTTTTAAAAATTCTGGTCATATAAAACAACTGACCCTTCCTTCTTTCATTCATACCCATGTACGGTGCAGTGTTTAAAGCGATCAACTGCTAATCAAAACGTCAAAACCACCAGCAGCTCCACGGGAGAAAGATGTGGCAGTGTGCTTCAGTAGAGATTTATAGTCTTGGAAACCTATGGGGTCGTTATGAATCGGGATTGACTTCACGGCAGTGGGTTTGGTTCCTCTGTACTATAATCCAGGAATCTAATAAGAATCGGTGATAATGATTAACATGGCCTTGTTCTCATGGAGCTTA